TCTAGAGTTGATTCTAGATGTGGCATTTGCATCTGGAGTCGGTTGCTGTTGTCTCTCAACAGGAGGCCCAACATGAGTCATTGTTTCATTTCAAACCCAATGTGCTGGAGTACAGAGCCAAAACAACAACAATTGTGTCACTGTCCACATACTTGCGGACTGCACTGTATGTATGCGTATTGTTGTTATTGTTGTCGTTTTTTGCCTTTTCCGCCTGTGTACCAACTGCTGCTGTAAAAACAAATTGCCCCCTCAGGTATAATAACAAGTCTCCCTCTCTCCCATTATATTTATTGAGAGGTATTAAAAATGCAACAGATGAGTATAGGAACCTGTGATAAACTTGCCTGTGGAAGCTCAAGGAAGTATCTCTAAGGTCATAAGGTACTAGGAAGATGGAAAAATTGTCAAAGCCAAATTGGTTAAGCAAAAAAACTCAGGCATACAGAGAAACACAGGTAAGAGAAAGTCTAAGCATTTAAAGCATTTCTCTAATGGACAGGGCAAGACTCCACTCACTTTAGCCCTTAAGAGTCTAAATCTGTAGCTGGCATTCATTAAACAAATAGGACTAGTACAAAACAATGCAATCGCAGACAGACAAAATAATAACAATACAACAAGCGATGCTGACAAACCAGAATGCTGTTACACAGGCAAGTAGAAACATGAGTGTGTATAGTAGGTATGTATGTAAGGGTGTGTGCACAGACAATGACCTTACAAAAGGTCAAGAGATGAAGACAAAATGTTATTATTCATAACAAAACCAATATGCAAGTACAACCAATGTGTAGCATTTTTAATTTGTCTCAGTACATTATCTGCATACAGAAATAAATGTGTGCTCCAGGCTCAGTCCGAAAGCCCCCTTTTCCTCACCCGGCTATCAGCAGCGGAAGCAGGGGTAGATATACTACCCAGCAACAGGATGCCCTGTGCTCCTCACCTCTGATGGTGAGAACTGTGTGACCTACCCTTCCCCATCACACTCTATCTAAGCAGGGCCACGGAGGTGTTAAATACCAAAGACAGCACCGTCAGCAGTAGCGGTAACCAAAGATAAAAAATAAAAACCTTGTGCTTTCAGGGACACATCAGAGCAGCGTCCCTCGCCAACTCTGAACTCCAGCCTGACTCCCACAGCCCCTTTGTGTCCAGTTTTAATTATGCACTTATTAACAAATAAACAAAGGATCTCCTTTCTGCCTCCATGGCTAACAAAACAAGCAATACCATTCCCTGAGTGATAACTTTATTGAGCACCCCGGAGGAAAAAAAAAGCCCATTTAGAGCTCCAGTACAGTGAGACCCATAGAAGGATAGAAGGCATTGGGGGCAATGAATGGGCTATTTCCTGCCTGATGCTGCCATTGAGCAGGCTGTGACAGAACTGTGAAAAGTTTCCCCACTCTCCTCTCCATTATCCAGAGTCTGTTTCTGGCACAGCTGCAGAAGGGAAGGTGGTGTGGTGGGGGGAGGGGTGGTTGGGCATCAATCAAGGCGAATGGCAGCTAGAAGATGTCCGAGCTGTGCAAGCTGGCCACAGACAAGAAGCTTTGTTATCCTGTTAGCTCCTGGACTGGATGGCACAGCTATACAGAGGCAGCCTGCAGCTCCTGTCTCCTCTGCAATGTATTCTCTCTCATTGCATGGCTCTGTCACTGACCTTTCCCTCAACTATAAATTATTTCTCCAGCCTTGAGCCCCAGATGGCTTTTACATCAGTTATTTACATTCCTTTTCAATAAATCAGCTGGTCCCAATTCAAATATTCTCAAACGTGCTTTGTTCCTTAAATCCTCCATGACCCATCGTCATTCTTTAGCACGGTGATTGCTTTATCATTTACCTTGATGACTATATTGATGTTAATTGATTTAAAAAAAAACACAATACTATCCTCCTTAGCTATTACAAGGAATGCCCAATCCCCCCTATCTATAGACACACCAAAGCTGGGCTTATGTGATATTGTGATGTGATTTTACAGAGGCTGAAAGTTTTGCTTCTGCTTGGCAAGTCCATGCCACTCTCTGAAAATACTGGAAACAGATGGAAAATAAAACTGATTGGATCTAGAATGGAAGAGAAACAGCTTCTTATTCTGAAAGATTGTGCTGCTCATACAGTGAAAACAAAGGTCACGTTGCAGGCCCATCCAAGCTTGTTCTGGACACACACTTCTTGCTGAATTAGGAAGAGAAAACACTTTCACTCCCACCTCACTATCACATGCGGTTAAATAGAAATCTAAAACATTTCCAAATCAAACAGCCCTGATCTATTTCTTAAAGCGGGGATGTCTAATTCAACTCCTTAAGGGCCACTTTCCAGCAAATTTTATAGGTCTCTGTCTAAAGGGTATTTTTTTTACACTGGTCAGGTGTCATTTAAAGATTGTATCTTGAGATTTTATCCTTGGCACCATAACTTGACTCATTATACAATTTCAAATAGACATCTAACTCCACTGATAGGTCTACAATGGCTCCTTTTTGAGTTAAACCCGAGTAGGCCACAAATTAAAAACTATTTTTGTTTCTATTATTTATAAGACTGTTCTTGTGTTTTTATGCTGTTAAAGGAGTTCAATAATGAGCAGCGAACTGAAGCAATATATACTTTTTTTAGATGTCAAAAATATCAAAAGGTGCTTTCAGATGTCCCTACTGTTTATGCTGAGAGAAACTGGAATGTCTAAATCTGGAAATAGTTTCAAACGGTGGTAAAGCAAAAAGAGGCTAGATAAGCAAAGAGAAATGATTCTCAATACTTGAGCTCACACCAAGACAAGAAATTGTTTCCAAATGCAGATAATTACTATACAAAGAGGGCCCACCACATTTATTTATACCCCTGATGAAAAATAACAATAAACATCAAGTAATAAAGATTTACAGATCAGATAATGTTTCTGATATAAATGTTATATAGTAGTGCACAGAAATCTTAATAGCATTGCACATAGCAAAGTCATATGTGTCATAAATATTTTAAATCCAGAAAACACGAGGGTCACAATTATTCACAACCTTGTAGTCAGTGTTTTGTAAATTTCCTCTGGCAGGGATTACACAGACTAGACACTTCTGTAGTGATCTATGTGATTCTGGCATATTATATTTATGAAATTCCTCCACATAAAACTGTTCTATACTCTTCAGACCCTTTGGTTACAATTAGTAAACTGCCACATTGAGTTAGAATAATGTTAACAACACTGATTCTGTGCACAGTTAACCATTCCTTTGTCAATTTTGATGTATGTCTTGGATCATTGTCATGCTGATAGGTCTACTTTCACCCAAGCCTGAGCTTCTTGGCAGAAATATCCAGGTGTCTGGCCAAAATCTCCTGATACGTGATGTAGTTAATTATTCCCACTATCTTAACAAGGGCTGCAGGACCCATAAAACAACCCCAAAACATAACATACGTACTGTAGTTTCAGCAATATTTCACCATGGGCATGAGTATTTTCTTAACATGAGCTTAATTTTTTTAAGCCACACATAATGCGGGTAAGTAGGTAAAAAAATCTAACTTTTCACGCACAAGGGCATTGTTTCAATAGTCATTCATATGATGTTTGCCATGTTTGAGCCATCTGCTGTCAGAAGACACTTTTTCCTTGAGATATAAGTTTAAATGACACATTCATGCAGGTGACTTTGAATGGTCATTTTTGATATTTTGTACCCTGATGAGGTTAGCTTTTGTTTCTAATCTCATGGTTGCATGACACACTTGTGTCCTGTTTTGCCACTATATCTGTGGCCTTAAATTCCTTAATAATAAAGTATTATTACCAGTAAAGTATTATCTACCAGTAAAAACTGGTAGATACTAACAGTCTAACATGTAACAGCCTCTAACATGTAAAACCTGACTCATTTCAACTGTGTGAAACTGGTGAACAACTTAAGTATCAAGTTTGGCCTATATCACGTAACATGAATGACTGTAATAATAATAATAAACTTTATTTTATATAGCGCCTTTAAAGGTGGCTTCTCAAAGCGCTTTACAGGATGACAATAACAATAAATAAGAAGACTACAACAATAAATAAGAACATTTCACAAGACAGGACACAATTAAAATTACAACAATATAACAATAACAATAGAGGAGACCGTGGAAGATGGTATTAAGAAGAGCAGAGGGGTGAAGAATGGAACCAGTTAAGTAAAGGCTTTTCTGAAAAGGAGGGTTTTGAGTCTGGATTTGAAGGAGTTTAGAGAAGGTGACTCTCTAATATCCTTGGGCAAAGAGTTCCAGAGCTTGGGGGCATAGCAGGAGAAGGCCCTGTCGCCCATACAATGTAGACGGGCTTGGGGGACAGTAAGGAGGGCAGAATTTGAAGAGCGGAGGTTGCGAGGTGGGGAGTAGGGCGATAAAAGTTCAGACAGGTATTGAGGTGCCAAGCCATGTAAAGCCTTGTAGGTGAGCATGAGGATTTTAATGAGGACTGTAGATTCAAAATCCCATTATGTGCATGAAGTTATTGTGATTTTGATGTACAGTAATAAAAAGTTAGGAATTGTTGCAAAATTGAAAAGCCTGATGCAGGTCTAGAAATATTTCTAATGTTTAGAAACCAAGGAGTCCTAACACTCAAGACAGCACTCTTACATATTTTTCCACATGTCAAGATGAATGGTGAATCCTTGTGTTTTACCTACTAAATTATCCCTGGAATACTGTGTCTTAAACTCGGACTCCAAACATTTTGGGATGAAATAAATTTCAGTCGAAAGTGATACTTCTTCCGAAGAACTGCCTCCATTACCACTTTTTTTACCTCCACGGAAAAAGATTAATAGAATTATGTTTACACCAGAAGTGGGTTATTACTTCCCTGGCTATATAAAATCCAAGAAACGCCTGAGCATAAACAAACAGAAATGCCATTGCTCAAGCCAAGACCAGGGCTATCTCCACATTGAGGAGACTAAAACAGGATTATTACCATGCAGACAGCTGACTCTCCATACCTTATATCTCATCTTAGGGCAAGAGTGAATGTAGAAGCCCAGGTAGTAATAACAGAGCTTGGGAGCCTTCTGATGGAGCTGTCGGGTGAAAGCGATTTCCCTGCACGAAGAGATAAGAAAAAAAGCACTTCAGTTTCAATAGGAACACATTCAGGTCTCCCCCCCCCCACTTCGTTCTTTTTCTCACTCTCTCTATTCATTATAGGCTTTCTTCCCCTTAAAGCTAGCTGCACTGGAGAAAAACACTTCTAGGTCAAACCTTTGCCAAACTGCAGCCCGCGGAAAGGGCAGGTTTCAACATTCCCAGCCCCCCGACAAAAGCAGACGGAGAATTGAAATGAATATGAATGACGAGGGAGCAGATAGAGGTGAGGGGGCCATTCACAAATCCCTCTGCCCCCCCCATCACCACCTCCACTGGCTGAATGCTGAAGCCTCTATTATCCAGGCATCGCCTCTCATTAAGAGGCTGATCTGAAATTCAAACAGAACAATTATATACACCCTTTTAAGGTCTCTTGTTAATATTAATATGCACATAGGAGCCTTTTCTATTACAGACACCAGCCTTTGCAATGATGACCAGCTGGGCTGAAGACAACAGTACAACAGCACAAGCGCTATTTTAAGAAACATCCACCCCCCAGTTCTAAATCTTTCTCTTACTTCTGAAAACCCGTGAGAGGCACTTCATCTTCCTCACCAATTCATATGCAAATATAGCTGCTTGAGAGCAGAAGAGACGAGCAAAGAAGGGTACGAGGAGAGGAGCCCAAAGCCTATTCCGTAGCTGAAATGACCAAAATCCACCCTATCCCCAGGTAGAATGGTGTCACCTCAAAATCCCAGTGCACTGCCTTTTCACTCAATTTCAGATACAGCTAAACGCAGACTAGTAAACGGTGTTCGATTATATTTAGTTTTTATCAGGAACATAACCTTCCAAAAATACTTCATGGCTCTGAAGTGAGCTTCGCAATTTTCTATATGATTTAAAATGTAGATTGGTTTTGTCTTAACAAAAAATAATGCCCCACTAACAATATCGTAACAGATTTACAATCCAAGCCCTATGTGTTACTGGAAAATGAAAAGGGATAAAACACTTCCCAGGCTATTACATCTAAGAAATGGTCATGCTCTTTCTGGATTTGTGCTGGTTCAGCAGTGCCCACTTTTTACACTGCACACAGTGATGGGGGTTTTAAAAGCAGCAGGTACAGCTGTTTAAAAGGACCTGAGCATGATTAAACTAAAAATCACTGTCTACAAACAACCTGAGAATATTTCGTCCTCTTTTTCATGACAGAATGGGACCTCTTGTGCATATACAGAGAAGAGATTTAGGTTTGTTTCTCTTGGACAGGACTGTAGGGCCTGAAGTTAAGTTTTTGATGACTTGAGCTAATTTTTTTTTAAAGTCTGAAATCAGCATATTTATTCAGATTGTCTTAATCAGGATTCCTACTTGTTGGCACAGGCACACAGCTTCCTTTTATAAGCAAATTTAAAAGGTAGGGGAAACTGGTAACACATCCTGGGGAATAGCTGTAGAAACACTGAGAATATACAGCCTGAATCACCCACACATGCAGAAAAATAACTGAAAAGGCTTTTTCATGCTGTAAAGTTAGACTCTTGGAAAGTCATGCCAAGGGTAACTTTCTTTTAAGGTAACAGATTAAACAGGCTTATACAAGGGTCTTAAACTAATAGTTCAGCAGCAGTTTGACATCTGTTAAAAGAGATGTTAAGCCCCACATAAGAAAAGCAGTTATAACTAAGCATCCACAGACTATATAAACTGTAGAAAGGTAAGAATATGTTGCCTGGAGTATTTCCTTTTTTTAACATCCAAACATTGATCACTTTTCCCAATAAGAAAACCACTGCAGACTTGCCTAATCAAAACTTGAGCCTTTTACATAAAGTCACGACAAGGAATAACTGTCAAGCAATATAGAAATCACCACACAATAAGAGCACCCATTTTGTTTCCAGACAAGCGAGGACAGCTATGATATATAAACTTCATATTTCAAGGAGCTTGCTTAAAATTTTGTGCTAGCAAAAAAAGATAAAAAACTGGGATTTATCATGCATATATAATAGTGCTCTACAGTTCTGGTCATTAAGGATCCCTGCTAATCAGGTTTTATAGATTTCTTCAAATCATTACTTGTTTTACATCTAAGGTTAAAGTGGTTAAATGAAGCATATAATTAGACTATTAACCTAATTAAAAATTACAATGAAATGAAAACCAGAGGAAACCTGGGTTTCAAGGTCCGCATTTGTGGAATGGTATGAATACTACATTCATAAGTTGTAAGGAGTGCTTTTTTAACCGCAAACATACTGGAAATCATCAAATAAATCATCAACATACCTCAAACTGAGTAAGAACAGTTCTCTATTGAACAAAATCGGGTAACTGAAATGAACTGTATATAAATAATTGCAGAAGAAACTTAAAATGCAATGTCACATGGTATTTAAAATATCCATGCCATAAAATTAAAAACTAAGACATTTTGAAAAATGAGACATTTACAAAAAATAACTGTGAATTTGGCCTTGTATATGAACTATCAACAGTTTCCAGAAATTTAAATCCTGTTAACTTACCTGAATAAATCTGAATAAAGGCACATTGTTAAAATAATAATTAAATATTCTTCAGTATAATTATATACAACAGCTGGGAGTTTGTAACACCTGAAATGGATGAAACTATGCAATAGGAACTGGGAAGGAAATAGGAAAATAGGAAATAGGATCCTGGAAATTCTGCTGGTAGCTCATGTGAAGACGGGGGTTCCCAGCATACTGACGTGTAAGTGTTTAGGGGTGAAACGTCACCTGAGGGCAGTGTAGGACCCCAGAGACAGGCTGGAGAAGTCTGGGTCATAGTACAGGTACACTGAGGACACACTGGTAGGAAGGATGTCAATCACTCCCACTGCAATTATTCTGCCATCCAGCCAGTACTGCTGATGGAAGGAACCATAGCCACAATCTGGTCCGTCTGGGGCACTTTCAGCCTGGGGAGAGAAAAAAATGTGCTCTTAAATCATCAAAGCATTTGTCATAAGAATACAAGAAAAGATAAAGACTAAAACTATTAGCCAGCAGCCATATCACCCTGCAACTCACAATTGGCAGCCCACTGAAGCTAAACAGGTGTGAGCCTGGTCGGTACCTGGATGGGAGACCTCCTGGGAAAAACTAAGGTTGCTGCTGGAAGAGGTGTTAGTGGGGCCAGCAGAGGGTGCTCACCCTGCGGTTCATGTGGGTCCTAATGCCCCAGTATAGTGACGGGGACACTATACTGTAAATAGGCGTAAAACCGAGGTCCTGACTCTCTGTGGTCATTAAAAATCCCAGGGCATTTCACGAAAAGAGTAGGAGTGTAACCCCGGCGTCTGGGCCAAATTTCCCATTGGGCCTTACCAATCATGGCCTCCTAATAATCCCCGTCTATGAATTGGCTTCATTACCCTGCTCTCCTCCCCACTGATAGCTGATGTGTGGTGACTATGTCTAGGTGTCCAGGTGCAGCATCCACATGGACAGCATCCAGGTGGATGCTGCACATTGGTGGTGGTGGAGGGGAGTTCCCATTACCTGTAAAGCGCTTTGAGTGGAGTGTCCAGAAAAGCGCTATATAAGTGTAAGCAAGTATTATTATTATTAAAACTGACCATCCAGCTGAACAGAGTATCAATTTTTTCCCCCACTATCCGTCACCACGTGAAGAGTTGTTATAACATATCCCTCATGCCACCTTCCACAAATGGGCTTAGCAATTTACTGCTGGTAGAAAAAAACGTTTTAGCTTTGGGATATAAAAATGCTCTTACCACGCTCTGTTATCTGCGGTTTCATATTCTGCTTGTTGGTATACTAACCTTAACTTACTGTAATCATTAAACAATTCAACTATACAAATCTTATGGCATTTCTTGAAAGCACAAGCATTACCTTGAGATTCCATTCTAGAATACAGTTACAGAACATTTCTGTGCTTTGGAAGTATAGAGCAGGGCTTTACTGAAAGACACAGTATCAGAACAGAAGGTGGAAACAGAAAGTTAAATCACACGAGCCAGAGCACCAAAAGTGCAGACTTTCTGTAGCGATTCAAGTAAGACTGTTAAGATTAATGTGACTTTGTTGACCTTGAATTCTTCACAGCTCCAGAGCAAATTTTTGGAAAAGCAAAGGCCACTTTAGTGCATGCCATTAGAGGAGGCATCTGCTGGAGATAGCAGCACTTGAAAGCATTCACAAACAGGAAAGCAACCCAAAGTGTCAGCGTTTTAAAATGAGATATTAAAATGGGTGGAAAGCCCTAGTCTTTACATCCATTTGATTACATTAATTAAATAAAAAGAGCAAGAAAAGGCCAAAGGAGAGTAAGGCAGTGAAAAGTTACTACCCCTTGAGAGAGACGCCATGGCCCAGGGACAGATGGCTGTTATAAAGATGGCAAAAGACAGCAGTGATGGCAGTAAGTAGTTTAGAGGTTTAAAGTAAATACACAGAGTCCTTGCTGTACTCCACTTTTATTGTAGCTGCTGGCTGCATGCTGTCTGCTACCCAGAGGAAATAGATCACATACATACTGAAATCAGCAGTGATCTCTGAAAGATTCCAATAACACTATGAAATATCACAAGAAAATAAGGATTTAAGCCAGTTTTCTTATTTGTTTAAGTGACACATGGCTAAGAATACAAATTGTAATCACAAAGTTTAATTTCTTGAGATTTAAGACCCCTGTCTCTTCTCTGGGGCACAATGATAAATGGTTACCCTCTCTGCAAGACTAATGGCAGCTGCTCTCAAATTTCCTCTCTTGCGCATTTCCCCATCCTACACTGATAAGAGAGCAATACAGGAAATGAACTGTTAGAATTTTCCTAATAAAAAGATAATATAGAGAAAATACCAGAAATAGACAAGTCATCACTTCCAAAGCTTTTTTTTTTAACTTGAAATAAACTAATTCACAAATGATATTGTCAATTCTATATTGTTACTTCTTAAAGCTGAACCTTTCACTCTTTAGAACTGCTTTATGAATCCTCAACAAGCTACAGTGGACAGCTGCCTAGAGTAAACATTAGGAACGACACATTAAATGTCTCTACTGCCAGATGACTGAAACATTATAGTACAACAGTACCGGGGCTGTTTTCTTCTAGTTTATAGAGATGTGTAGCAAGGGAAATTGCTTTCAAGAAATGCAGGCCTTATTCCCAAGAGGGAGATTGCAGCAGATTATGTCGAAAACAGCTTGAAAAGATGGTGAGATACTTTTTTTTTTAATCTTTTCTTCAAACTTCTGGATGAAGTGATTTCTGTATTGTCTGTGTAAGCAATCTCTACAGGCTCTTCACACCATTCACGTCTGCTTATCCAGTGTTGAGGCAGTCTGACACTGATTCTCCCTGCCACCTTGCACCTGTGCTGAGATCATTTCACATCAGGCTCTGATAAACTGAGACTACATCCCCTTCATTAAGTGCATGAGAAATGGACGAGCTCTAGACAGCCTTAAACCACCTCAGACAAGCCAAAGACGGACGGTTTTTAAATTCCACTAAATGTCACAAGAAGGTAATGTAATTATATATTAAGATTTTATTAAATACATGGAGTCTGGGCAGAAACAATCCTGTCTGAGCCATGATGTCTGCATCCTTTATTGAAAGTAACTGGTTCAGCGTTATTGCCTTATCTCTCCATTTGCAGTTTGAAAAAGGAGAGATAAGGCAAGCCCCTAACATAGTTTATCTGTTGCCAATGTTAGCATCTGACAGCTTTAGCACAAGGCTTCTCTGTCAAAGTGATACAGTAGCCTGAACACATATTAATGGTTCCCAAATGCAGGGGTAGTATCCACAATCAAAGGGAGTGTGTTTTCAACTTCAACATCCATGAGACTGGGATTTTATTAAAAAAGGTTGTAGAATCTACCTCTCCACTGTTGTGTCCTCCGACTCAAGCCAGGGGGCTGCAGTAATGGAATCCAGCCCCCTCTTACCTCAAAGCCCTTTATAAAACTCAAGTTAAACCATTGTGAAGCTCATGTTTCACAAAGCTTTCTCTCACTTCTTGTAAGGTTACCTTATGGGGCCGCATAACCACAACTTCAAACACTGAAGCTTAAACTACAGAAGAGACTAAAAGAAATTTGGTAACCATTGTTTGGTCACTCATCTGCTTTTAATTAGACCACTGTGGATGAAACTCGTTAGAAGACTGACAGTATTTTGATATTCAGGGTGTGAAATACAATACAGCTCCCTTACAGATCAAACACACTTAGTTTGAACCATTGGTCTGGCAGTAGTTCTACTGAAGAAGGTAACAGTTTTCCCTCAGCCTAGATTTCCTACTGTAGAACACCTCCTCCCAGATTGTACTACATCTTCCTCAATAAAACCTAATAACTGCCATGTTCCGAGAGCTCAGGACAGAAGGACCAGCAGCATTGTGGTACCTGCTCTTCACAGCAGCCTTAAAGAAGGAGCCACTGCCTGAGAACCAATACTTGAATGGCTTGCATGCTGCATGTGGACCATATCCATCTTTTCTATTTAAGTGTTAAGTCTACATTGCCAATTGTGTTTCTAAATGGCAAGATTCAATATGTATCACTGTTCCATTTTAAGGTCTTGGAATGAACCAAAGAAATGCAATGCAATGGAGAGTGACAGATCAGAATGGCATGGAGGTGAATTTACTGAAACACTTCAGAAACCCAACCAGTGACACCTGCAGATATAGCAGCCTTCCAGAGCTGGATCTGGGTATCCCTGTCTTGAGTGGTCTTTGCATTGGGAAATCCTGTTGCAGAGTTCATACACTGTACATAGATCAAGGGTGCTGGGTTGATCATGAATGCTTCTCATCAGATCGTAGTGCTGCTGGAGCCTAGTAATCAACCTTGGTACCATAGCAATTTTGTGAAGGTCCCATGACCACCATTCACAGAGTACTTGCATTACTCTACAATTATTACCCTTGTTTTTTTCTAAACTTCACATCATTGCAGAGTAATCAAAACCAGCAAAGCTATGTCCTTGTAGGCATGTATAAGATCACACTAAAAGGCTAGTTGCTTTGTATAATACAATAATTATGGGTGAAAACTTATATTGCATTTCTGAAGCATTCAGTGTACCAACAAGCAATTTTCCTTTAGTTGGTTTTTAAATAGGACCCAGGGATTATTATGCTAATTTCTTCACTTTACGTACACAGGATCACTCAAGAGGCAGAGGAATGATTATATGGCACTTTGTACAAGCAGTTAATTCATACACTTAATACATGTTGAAGGAATACCCTCTAATTGCTTAATGAAAAGCATTTAAAGCCACTCAGTGGTATAAATTTAGAAGTTTGTGTGTTTTGATAATGTCTGAGTTACACTGAGCTGGTCCTTGCCTCGAACAATTCTGATCGAGACTAAAGAGATCTTTTTAAAAATCTTTGTCACTGCAATATAAGTAACCTGACCCCTGACACATACAATCACACACTCACACCTCTGTCTGTTCTCTGGCCCTCTCATCTGGTCCTAAACACTTGTCTAATGTAAAAAACGTGTCCTAAGGCTAATGCTGCACCATTGATTTTACCTTAGGACTTGTCAAGGATAATGGGAGACTTTGTGAGGTCAGGTCAGTATCAACATTATCAGTATCAGTTAAATATCAAGGATTTAACTCCTACTTTTTTTGAAAAACTCCTGCTTTTTTAAATTGATTTTAAATAAAAAATTATGCTATTGAAGTTGTACATCAATACAGTTTTCTCAGGTGTATTATATTGGAAAGTGCTGTGTGGCTCAATCTTCCAGGAAACGCTCAGAAGAAACCGACAATCCAAGAGATACTGTGTTGTAATGTAATGCTCAAGGATCTCTGTTCACAGTAGAGTGCAAAGGTCGGGTTTATAGCTGACAGGGAAGACTGCTGCTGGGACTATTTTCACCATACAGCAGCTGGAGATCAAACTTTCTATACTA